TCTTGAGTCTAATAAACATTTCTTGGATCAATTAAATAATTCTGGACAGAATTAAATATTTCTTGAGTAAAAAAAATATCTCCTGAGTCAAATAAACAATTTTTTTACTTTTGCATAAAGAAAAATATTTCTCGACTAAAATAAATTTTGTTTAAGTCTATCAAACAATTCTTGACTAAAATATTCCTTTAGTGAAATAAATATTTATTGAGTCAAATAGAGATTGTTTGATTTAAATAAATATTTCTTGACTCAAATAAATGCTTCTTGACTCTGCCGTTTGAAATAAAAACTTAGTTAACTGACATTTATATCGAAACGAGAAAATAAGGAAAAACTGTTTGCTTTCAGAACCCTAATAAAAATTAAAAAATTGTTCAATTCAACTTCACATACTGGGTATAATGATGGTGCTCTATTTAATTATGAAATAAAAAATTAATTATTTAAACAAATTATATGAAAAAGAACACTTGCGTGTTTTTCCGAATGCAAATATGAAGTAAAAAGTTAGGTAAAGTCCTTTAAAGGCATTTTTCCTTCAAATCTTACATTCGAGCTCGTAGCCTCGTTTGTTTTTTGGACTACGCAAAGTCCTTTCCTTAAATTTTTATCAAATATTCCTTCATTTTCTGCAATTTCTTAGATTTTTAATATTAATTTTTTACAAACAATAATTTGCAAAAAAATTTAAACTATAACTATTAGACGCAGTTTTTTCTTACGAGTTCATTGATACCAAAAACTCATTTTTCACCAAAATGTCAGTTAACTAAGTTTTTATATCACACGGCAGGCACTCTTATAAATATTTGTTATCATTGAGAAATATTTCTTGAGTCTAATAAATATTTTTTGACTCAAAAAGAAAAAAAATTCTTGGATGAAAAAAAATATTTCTTAGGAAAATATAAATTATTTATGTTACGTCCCAAAAATAATTTTATGGTTCGTAATGATACTTTTATTTAATTTTATTTATTTTAAGCCTAGACTTGCGTCCAATAGCTTGGGAATACTTTCAAATTGTTATTTCTCTTATTTGATTTAATTAATGAAGAAACGACAAGAATTTTAATAGAAACGATTCCATACATTCACATAAGACGTATGGAATTTTGTAAAATAAAAGTTTTAATAGAAACTATTCCATACATTCACATAAGACGTATGGAATTTGTAAAATAAAGATTTTAATAAAAACTATTCCATACATTCACATAAGACGTATGGAATTTTGTAAAATAAAGATAATTTTTAAAGAAGGTAGGAAAAGAAAGAACACAGCAAAATTAATTTGTTACTCACTTTTTAATAACACTTTAAAGATGTTTTTCAGATGAAATTGGAACTGGAAGCAGAGATGAAGTCGATCTTGGATTCTTCTTTTATTATTTTAATTTATAATTTGAAAATAGAATTTGAACTTGAATTTGAACTTGAATATAGAACTTGAATATAGAACTTGAATATAGAACTTGAAAAAAGAACTTGAAAATAGAACTTGAAATTTGAATATTCTTTGAGAACTCTTATTTGAGTTGATAGCTTTTTGAGCTCTCTAGTTTGAGTTGACAGCTTTTCGAGCACTGAATTTTCCTTAAGGAACACGTATATTTATGTAACAGTTCCCACTTCTGATTTTCTCAAGAGAGGAAAATTCGGGGATGAAAATATTGTAGAAAGGGAAAAAGAGGTTGGTTAATTTTGGATTGGTTTAAGAAAAAGAAAATGGAGAGAAAATGCATTAAGAAATGGGCCTGATAGGCAAATTTTGGGTCCGTCCCATTTTTATCAGTTTTAAGCGTAGGAGGATCTTTGAAAAGGGGCTGAGTCTTATCGTTCCTCAACTTCATCTCCCTTCCAACTCCAATTTCTAGAATTTACAGAAATAGCACTTTTCCTTAATTTCAACATATTTCTAAATTTTAAATATTCAACATAATAATAAACGGTTGTTTATAATAATTATTTTAACAATTGCAATTATTATTATTAACAATTATGAAATTATTAATTATTTAGTTAATACAAACAATTCGATGAAATTTACGTTAATAAATAATTATCAAATCAATTTGTTAATTAATACAATGTTTAAGTATTAATTGTCAATAATTTGTTTAAACATTCATAATTATTAAAGATAACAACAATAAAATCAATGATTTCAATAATTATTTGTTTATTATAACTAATTCGATAACATTCTGATTATTATTTTATTACTTAATAGTTATAATAATAATTTGTTAATTAATATTTTATTTAACAATAAACTGGATAATTTGTTTAAACATTCTATTAATTAATAAAACAAATAATCAAAATTGTTATTTAATAATTTCGGACTTTAATATTTTAACTGTTCAACAATTAATTCTAATTGTTGTTAATTGTTTATTGTTAATTAGTAATAATGAATTAATTTGACATTTTGAATTTTATTAACATTATTTAAATTTAAATAGAATATATTTTAAAAGAATTTAATATTATTTTCATGAAAACATATTTTGATGAAGTTGTGTAAAAAGGGACTGTTGTAAAAAATATAAGGTTTATCTTAAAGGAATTTTATCTTCCTTTTAGCGGTATAGACTAAAAGAACATAGTTTCAAAAAATCTCTATTTGTGTGTGGAGACGAAGATAGTATACTCTAAGATTAAAACTCAAAATTTTAGAGTATTGATTTTTAGGCTTACAACTATCTTCTCTCAGTTTAGATATTTTTCTGAAAATATGTTTTTGTATAAAATATAGAAATTCGAAATATTTTAAAAGTGACGTCATCGTTACAGGACGTTACATTTATTTGACTCAGGAAATATTTTTTTTACTCAAAAAATATTTAATTCTGTCCAGAATTATTTAATTGATCCAAGAAATGTTTATTAGACTCAAGAAATATTTTTTTTACCCAAGAAATATTTAATTCTGTCCAGAATGATTTATTTCAGTTAAGAAATGTTTATTTGACTCAAGCAATATTTATTTTAGTCGAGAATTATTTATATGAGTCAAGGAATATTATTATCATTATTATTATTATCATTATTATTGTTTTTAATTAATTTTTTATAGGACGTTTGTGCACTGCAAATGGATTCTAATGTGATTCGTCTAATTGCCGAATCTTCATCGGGCAATAAGCTTACTGCCGGGCATTAAGCTTACTGCCTAGGCAAATAGACAAATCTGAACGATTTCGTCGTGTATTCGTCTAATTGCCGGCAGTAAGCTTATTGCCTAGGAATTAAGCTTAATGCCTGATTCTTCTAGTCTAGTTTTAAAGCATTTTTCTTAATATAACACTATTTTAAAATAAATGTAGATAATAGAAATGAATTTTCAAAGTAAAACAAAGCTAAATTTATAAGGGAAATGAAGTTTTAAGAAAAAAAGAATAATTTTATTCAAAAAATTTATTCACACTGAAAAAAGGTTAGAATTTGATAATTCCTTGTTGCTCTAACTAACCGACATTAGATATTTCTCGGATGCGGTAAGCACGATTTTGTATTAAATTTAATTATTTTATATAAGAACATTTATATAATAAATAAATAATAATATATTATTAATTAGTAATGAAAAAAACTTATTTATTCTACCGCCAATACAAAATCGTGCTTACCGCATCCGAAAAATATCTAATGTCGGTAACTTAGAGTAACAAGGAATTATCAAATTCTATAACCTTTTTTCAGTGTGAATAAATTTTTTGAACAAAATTATTCTTTTTTTCTTTAAACTTCATTTCCTTTATAAATTTAGCTTTGTTTTACTTTGAAAATTTATTTCTATTATCTACATTTACTTTAAAATAGTGTTATATTAAGAAAAATGCTTTATAAGTCACCTCGTATACAAGCATCTATACACTTCTCATTACGGAAAAGGTTCGTATGAGAGTTTTCTCATATTTCTCATACGAGCTACCGAGCTCGTATACGAACTCCGCGGTCCGTGTATCGAATTTTTTTTACTGGGTTGTAATGCGTCTTTAAATACTTAGGAATTTTATATATTGAAGAAATTATACATTTTTTATACAAATTTGAGAAGTTAAGATTTTTAATACTATTTTTGATAATAATTTTTGAGTACCTTTTGAGAAATTTTTATTTTTGAAAATTTCTCAATTGAAATGAAATTAATCTTAAAACAAATTGAGACCAATTAAAAATCGTTCTTTATTCAATAAAAATGCTTTTATTAAGGTATTTGTCGCGTAAATTCGTTTTCGACAGAATTTTTTTAAATTTCACATAATTATTCTTTGGATATTTATCTACAAAATAAGGCCTATTAAAATAAAATTGACCGTCTGTAAGTCTCAAAAAATGAAATCAAAGTTTCGATTTTTAACATGTACGGTATAGGAAAACCATATGAAAACCACAGATTTTTAATTTTTGCACTTATACTAATCGACAGATTTTTTAGAAAAACTAAAGTTTTATTTATTGAACCAAAATGAACTTTTATAAAAAAAATGAAAATTTTTCACCGTCTTGTTTAAAAGATATTTAACATCAAACTTGAAAAATTATTTTAACATTTACTGTAAATGACAGGTGAATTCGTAAACGTGGCAATAGCGCTTGTTAAATACTATAGCTTGTCTGCTACTTTTGGCGCGAAATTTTAAAGACGGCCATACGCCAAACTTGCGACGTTGCCACGATCGTTTTTCATGCGAGAGGTTATGAATATACTTTGAGAACATCTGTGTGTCAAACTGTACGTCCGCAAAAGTTTTTCGGAAACTCGCATTCATAATCGTTTCATAAGTACAGTCAACGGATACAAACTTTTGACAGTGACCAGTCGCGCGACAAATACCTTAAGTAATAAAATGTAATAGTTTCTAGATTACTAGGTGGATAATAGAAAAGTAAGTGACCAGTAGTTTACTGATAAATAATTAATTTATTGAAATATGTAGATTTAATTTTTGAATGATAAATTATACAATGATAACTTTCGAAAAAAGGTGGCACAACAGCGAAGCGAGTCAACAACTCTAGTAGCCAGTGGCAGGAGAACAAGCAAACTAAAAAGCAGCAACAATCGGAGACATACACCCTCCATTCCGACATTGGTAACGCATCCCGCCTCAACAAGGAACCCTCAGCTCTCGTCATTGCAGGTCCGTCTAACATTCTATAATTTTACAACTATGTATTCAAATACTTTTTGATAAAATGCTCATTCACTTGTCATGCCATTGCATGACTATTTTTATCTAATCTAAATCTAAACGTTCATTTTGCTTCCTCATGAGGAAGCTTTGCATTCGTGACGATTTTCAATTTTTTAAAAGAAGGTTACATGGACTCATTTTTATCTAAAACATATGGGCAATTCCACGTGAGATTTAAGTCGACCTCTTAAAATCGGCCAAAAATATTTTTTTTTTCTATTCTGTATCGAAAAAAAACAGATACGTATTTTTTTATTTGGGTTTAATTATCCAAATTTTCGAGTTATGAATTTTCGAAAATTTGGACTTTTAATTGTAGACCTATATTCAGTAGCTTATAAGTCCGAAAATATTGAGTTTAGGAAAAAGTTGTCAAAGAATGAAAGTTTTAGTTTTCTTTCGACTTTTAAGAAATGTAAACAAAAAAATTTTTTTTTATAAACAAATTATTTTTTTTAAATTTTGGGCCGGATTTTTTTTTATTTTTTTGTACCTTATAATATAGAGAAGATTTTCCAAAAAGTCCCGAAATGGGCCTGATTTGTTAAATGAGTTTTAAAATATTTTCAAAAATCACTTGCAAGCATCACAGTGGGATTTTTTTTACATTTAACTTTTTAAAACTGTCTACAGTGTATATTTTTTAATATATTTGAGTGTTCTTTGTTTTAAATGAAAGGGTCTACGCTGTAAGCAGTTTTAAAAAATTAAATGTAAAAAAAAATCCCACTGTGATGCTTGCAAGTGATTTTTGAAAATATTTTAAAACTCATTTAACACATCAGGCCCATTTCGGGACTTTTTGGAAAATCTTCTCTATATTATAAGGTACAAAAAAATAAAAAAAAATCCGGCCCAAAATTTAAAAAAAATAATTTGTTTATAAAAAAAAATTTTTTTGTTTACATTTCTTAAAAGTCGAAAGAAAACTAAAACTTTCATTCTTTGACAACTTTTTCCTAAACTCAATATTTTCGGACTTATAAGCTACTGAATATAGGTCTACAATTAAAAGTCCAAATTTTCGAAAATTCATAACTCGAAAATTTGGATAATTAAACCCAAATAAAAAAATACGTATCTGTTTTTTTTTCGATACAGAATAGAAAAAAAATATTTTTGGCCGATTTTAAGAGGTCGACTTAAATCTCACGTAGAATTGCCCATATGTATATTCAATTCTGAGCAAATGTCCAGATGTATGTGTGTGTGTGTATGTCACAAAAATTGTGTACAAATTATCTCAGACAAATTTTGATGGATTGTCCTGAAATTTTGCAGGTTTATAGCAGTCATTAATACCTAAAATCTGACACAAGGATTTTCGAAAATATCTACAAAATTTTTTTTTATACAATTTTTTTAAAATTCAGAAAAAAATTTTTTTGTATATATTTTTTGAAATAATTTTTTTATTTGTTAATATTTTTATTAATTATTCTCAAAATTACATTCCTGACAAGAAAGCGAATCGATTGATGTATACAAAGTATATATTTTATTAAAATTTATAAAATTAATAAATATTTTTCTTTTTCACAAACAATTCAAATTTTTGAATTTCAATTTCAAAATTTTGTACGTGAATTACGTCACGAATTTCTATTTATATATTGAAGAAGCTAAATGGTCATGAAATGAACAACTTGTTTTTGTGTAGGTATTAAAGATACTTTTTACTAAATAAGCAAATATTTCCTTAAGGGGACAGTTTGGTTACTGCTCGACTAAAAGGCTTTTTTGTTTAAAAGATATTGACTTAAATTTAAAAAAATAGTGAATGATGTTGCTATGTCCAGCCTTACATTTAGTGGTGAATACAAATCTAAAAAAGAATCACTGCTGGTGTGATATCTCGAAAACGCCTTAACCAATTTAAAGGGGAAGGGGGTTAGGCACTCTGATATGGTTTGACAATCGTTATTCGATAATTGTAATAATTTTAAATATTACAAATACTTTTCACATATGCACCTTTTTTATTAAATTTTCGTACTTATTTCATTACTGGACATTTACTTATCTATAATAAAATTTCAAAAATTGATTTTTGGCAATTGTGCTATATGTTTATTACTAGCTGTCGTACCCGTCTTCGACGGGTTGTAGTTTCTGATAATGCACTTAACAGTGTATCTACCAACCTAGGAAACCGGAAAATAGCCGGGAATTTGATTTGACAGGGAAAAAATAATAATTAGTTACTATTGTCTATTTCATTAGGAAAATAATACCATTTGAAACAGTGACCGACTTTTTATTATCAAATTAGTTATTTTTAACTAATTCAAATGCAGAAAACAATATTTCTCAATTTGTAGTACTTCAATCAATATAATGTATTAAAATAAATCTAAAATTTCCTCCAGTTTTTTGAGTTATAGTACAGTCTAATTCGAACTAATTGTATAGCAAGTAGATCCAGTTTTTCTCGGTTACATTAAATTCCCTGATATTTTACGTCTTTTCTGGTTGGTAAACACCCTGTTAAATGTATTATTAAAAAAAACCCGTCCAGTAAACCAGGAAAAATTTGGACAAAGCCGGAAATTGTTTTAAACCAAAATAAACACCGTGTTTAACTTTTGTCTTTACATTGATCAAGATATCTCTAAAAGTTAAATCAGAGAGCCCACAAATACTACTGAATGAAGCTTCATAGCAATTGGTATCAATTATAATTTTTTCAATTTTTTGATATTCAAAACATTTTTATACTTACATCTTCGTTATAAGAAAGTATTTTTGAAAAATTATGCTAAAATGTGACTAAATAACATGTAATACTCAACTATAGAAAGTTTAGAAGCAATCCATGAAAAAATATAAAATTTAGAAATGATTTGTGTTAAATAAATTTATTTATTAGAGTCAAGTATTTATTTAATTAATCCAATTAAGATTTATTTGATTCAACTAAATAAAATTATTTAAACGAAATAAATTCTTATTAGATCGAAATAAAAACTTTTTAAATAAGATATTATTTTTCAAATAATTATAATTACTTGAATCATATAACTTTTTTTAGTGTAGCTATAGTAAACTAAAAGTTATTAATGTGAACGAACATTATCTATATTAATAAAATCAGATTACTATCTGTACATTGCTCCAAACTTTAAAATTTTTATATATTTTTTCGTTTTGAGACATTAGAATTCTAAAAATGTAAAAAAAATTTCTGTCTGTCTGTCTCTGTCTGTATGCAAAACTTTGTTCGCGCATCAATTGAAAACGGTTCAACCAATTAAAGTGAAATTTGGCAGTCTATTAGGTATTAAAGTAACTTACAATCATAGCCTTATCCGATTAAAAAATATTAACTTGAACAAAAGTTATGACATTTTTCCAAAAAATTCAAAAAAACAAAAAAATGCAAATTTTTTATCTTTTGTAAAATGAATGAAAAAACTATCCTTAGCTAACTTTTTCAGATAAATACAACCCATTTCTACGATAAAATTTTTAAAAAAGATGTATTTTGAAATTTTTTTTCGTTTTTTTAGATCAACTTTTTTCTAAGAAAATAGTGATTTTTAATCTTTAAGCAAGCTTTTCAGGAAAAGTTATTAAAGTTTTTTATTTAAAGATCAGTATGTAAAGTAAGAAATTTGCTACATTAAACAAAAATAATTAGCTAAATGCCATAAAAAAGAAGGAAAAATGTTGAATTTTAAGAAATTCGGTTTTTTGAATTTTTGCTAATTTTCCATAATTTTAGATTTTTTACCGAAGGGTGGAGACTATTGAATAAGTAAAGTATTTTTTAAGAGCACAAAAATAATAAAGCTAAATGCTATAAAAAAGAAGGAAAAATGTTGAATTTTAAGAAATTCATTTTTTTGCATTTTTGCTATTTTTCCATAATTTTAGATTTTTTACCAAAGGGTGGAGACTATTGAATAAGTAAAGTATTTTTTAAGAGCACAAAAATAATAAAGCTAAATGCCATAAAAAGAAGGAAAAATGTTTAATTTTAAGAAATTCATTTTTTTGCATTTTTGCTATTTTTCCATAATTTTAGATTTTTTACCAAAGGGTGGAGATAACAAATTAGATAAAGTATTTTTGAAGAGCCCAAAAATAATGAAGCCAAAAGCCATAAAAGAGAAGAAAAAATGTTGAATTTTAATAAATTCGGTTTTATGAATTTTTGCTAATTTTCCATAATTTTAGATTTTTTACCAAAGGGTGGAGACTATTAAATATAAGTAAAGTATTTTTGAAGAGTACAAAAATAATGAAGCTTAATGATATAAAAGAGAAGAAAAAAATGTTAAATTTTAAGAAATTCGGTTTCTCGAATTTTTGATAATTTTTGATTTTTTGCTAAAGGGTGGAGACTATTCAAATAGTATAATTATACTACCGAAATAGCTAATGGTAACTAATTATTAATTAATTAATTATTAACTAATTATTAATTATTATTAATTAACTAATTATTAATTATTAATTATTAATTATTAATTAATTTATCCCGGGTATTTTTGATTTTCCGCAGATTGGTAGAAACATTGTTAAATGTATTGGTAGAAACTAAAACCCGTCGAAGACGGGTACGACATGACAGCTAGTGCTATATATTTTCAAAATTTTTAAAATTCAAAATTTATCTTTTGAAATAATTATTGTCATTAATTTTACTTAAATTTTATACAGGGTTAATTTTAGTATTTTTTATTACAATTTAGTCATCAGAATGAAATTTGAGTTTTTCATTTTTTGATCATTAATTAATAAAATATAATAGCAATTTTGAATTCTGTGCAACATACTGACAAAAGTCTCATATTAATTATATGGATATTGTTAATATTCTGACCTAATAGAATTCTTTTAAGAAAGTAAACTTATGATCTCAACAACAAATTTTTATTGTTGACCTAAGAAATACAACCGTATAAAAATTAATTACAAAAAAATTTCAATTTTTAAACTTTTTAATTTTTCAATATTTAAATCTAACACTTTTTATTTGTTATTCAAAATTTTATTATTCTGACGATTAAATCTTCATAAAAAACACTAAAATTAACCCTGTACCAAGTTTAAGTACAATTCACTAAAGTATATGAAAAAACTAAAAATTTCGAATTTTCGAATTTTTGAAAAAATGGCATAACTTTCGTCCATATTAATATTTTTTAATCTACTATCGCTAGGATTTTAAGTTAGGCTAATGCCTAAAAGACTGCCAAGTTTCACTTCAAACGATCGAACCGTTTTTCCGTGATACGCGGTCGAAAATTTGCGGACATACATACACACATACACACATACACACATATACACATACACACATAATTTTCTTAATAGTATTTTCGCATTCCTTAGAGTGTAAAAAGAAGGAATATAATAGAAATTTTGAATTCTATGCAATGTACAGACAAAAGTCTGATTTTATTAATAAGGATTTAAAGCACCCTCTTGCGAAATTTCTGAACACGATTTTAGAATTCTAGAACTCCATTTTAAAATTTACGAAATCAATTTTTAATTATTTAGACATTTATCGATTTGAAATCTTATTTTGCTTACTAAATCATGAGTTTTTTAAGAAAAAGAATAAAAAAATTTGCAATATTCCTATTTCTAATCACGGATTTCTTAACAAAGTTCTGTTTTTTTAAAAAAGCAAGTAATTTGCACTATTTCTTTTCCTCAATTACAATTTTTTAAAAATAAAATTCGAATTATTTTAGAAATAAAGGAAAAAGATTTTTATGAATCACATTTTTTTAGAACATTTTAAATTTATTTTGGAAAAAAAGGAAGAAAAGCATTTCCATAATTTCTATTTGTTAATTACGATTTTTAACGAAATTATTTAGAAAATTTACGTAACTTCTATTCATCACAATTTTTTAACAAAATCTAAAGTTTTTTTTAATAAATCAAAAAAATTTGCATAATTACAATTTTTTAATTACGATTTTAAAAAAAATTCTTTGTTTGCAAAGTTTTTTGCAGATTGTAAAGAGGAAGCAGAACGTTCATGTTATAATCATCGCTCATCTTATTTTATTTCTGTTATTTATTTATTTATTAATATTAATTATTGGTATCTAGATAAACATAAAACAATTAAGTAACAAAATTATTAAAAGTAAAGGAAAAAAAAATTTTTTTTATAAATTTGTAACAGAAATAATTATTCTTTTTGTATACTTAGTTATTTCTAGGATAAAAATATTTCATGGTTGCTCACGCAGGCCGATTACATAGTTTTTTGCACATTCAGCAAAAAAAAAACACTGAAAGAAACTTTGTTACAATATTTAATATTTTAGGGTCACTTTTTAGTATATTTAGTTACAAGTGTAGGACATTTTGGTATGGTAAGGATTTTCGTTACTACTTTTAAGAATGTTTAGAAGTAAAATAAGGAAATATAATATATTTGAAAAGATAATTTAGTATAATCTTCACAAAATTCAAAATGATTGTTTTAAAACTCGAAATGTCAAATTCTGATACGCCTTTAAGAAGTAAAGGTTATCCAAATTTGGTTTATTTGGTTTATTTGTTTATCCAAATATTTCAAACTCCGTAGTTAGAATTCTGTTTAAGTTCGTAATAGTTTCAAATTTTGATAAAGTTGATATGAAAATGCACGAAAAATGAAAAGAAAAAATTGACGAGATTTTCGAAACTTGCCGAAGTTGAACGAATGAGTCTTGCCTGAATTAGCCCGACTCTGAACGAGCAGTAACAAATCCGCCACGTCGCGTCACTACGATCCATTACGTCTGTACGGCGTTAACTATAGTTAACAGTGTTATTTTGAAGGTGTTAAATAAAAATTGTTCTTCAAAAAATAATACAATGTTTGATTTTTTATTTTTGGTTTTAAACATTTTTAAATATATTTTCACCTATCTCACAAGCGCAGAAAAATCAGTCTGTTTAGTATATAAGACAGCTCACACATTTCCACAGTATCGTGAATTATGTATTTGTATTTGTATGTTTGCCAATGTGAATTCTTAATGCTTTATATGTGGTAGTGTGTGTGTGTGTATGTTAAGAACAAAATTTAGAAAATCCATTGTTGTCTATCATTGAGTAAAAAAAGGGAGTAAACATTGGCGAAGAGTTTGGTCGTCTGCTACTGTCACGACCATATACTATAGTTCTGATTTTTTGTTAATAGTTTTATCAAATTACGAAAAAATCGTTCCGAATTTTAGTATAAATTTTGTAATTAACGAATGGGCGCGTCTGCTTACTCACTACTGGTTGCAACTGTTTTTTCGTATACTTTTATCAATATTCAAAAATTCTGAATTTAAAATAAGAAATAATACTTATAATTTCTTGAATATAGTTACTTTAAAAGCTATTTCGTAAAATTATATCAATCTTTGATATCAACCCTGAATGTCCTACGTTTGAAAAATAAAATACTAAAATTTCCTTTCGGGTTTATCATATATTGTAACAAAGTTTCTTTCAGTGTAGGCAATTCGAGAACTGCCTGTAAATCTCTAGGAAATTCGGGTATTTCCTGAAATCTTAAGCATTTCGCAAAATGCCTGGTCTTCGGGTTTTGCCGGTAACATTGACACATAGTTTAATAATAATATTTACATCAACAATTTCACCAAGTTATTATATTTAATAACCAGAATTTCACCAGTTATTATATTGAGAACAACTTGTTTTTTATGTGCTCTGTGCGTGATGTTACCCCTTAAATTAGCTAATTTTTGTTTCAATGTTTCTTGTAATGATTTAATCCTATTAAAAAATTGTTTAATAAAAAGAAACAAAAATTTAAGTTTTAAATTTCTATTTTTTTAAATTGAAAAGACATTTTTTGAATAAATAGACGAAAATAAAAGCGAACTGGTGGTTTCCACCCACTCTACTGCAATAAACAAAAAATTGTGTTTAATAAATTAATTGTTCGAAGTTAATGTTTACAATTGTTATTTTACAGAGTTGATGAGGTCTCCTTCGCTGAGGTGGCCTGGCAGGAGTTGTCGTAGCCTGCCCACAACACCTATCCCGAGCCACCATCATCCCCTCTACCCTCCACTCCCTGCAGTGGGTATGGTTGCTGAGAGGAAAAAACGTTTTGAGCTCTAACAATTTGCTGAGATCAATAATCAAGTTAAAAATGAAAAAGAATTTCAACAAACACTGCCTTTCTATTTCGAAATAATTTCAAGCTTATTTCGATTAATGTAATTGATTTTGTTCCAGGAGAATTTTCAAAATAACAAATAAATGACAGTAAAAAAGAAATCGACAGTGGTGCTGATCAGGTTGTCAAAAAATTGATGTTATTCAATTCTTTACTATATTTCAAATTAGTTTTTCACATTAATATTGAAGTCTGTCATAATTGTTTTTGTTTATCATTTCATCTCGAAATCTAAACTATCGAAATAGTTGAAACTAAATGGTTTAACTTAATGGTTCAAATATAACTTGTTTATTTCATTGAATTTTGTCAATAAAAAACAAGTGAACATTTTTTAGAATTTCACTACTTTTTGTGAATTATTCTTTCAATTGTAAATTTCAACTATTTCGCTTGTGGGATTTCAGGCAGATTTTAGATTTGAGATTTATAAAAAAAATTCTTTCCCTTTGGTGCAAATTCTTTAAGATAAACTGTTATTGTTAAGTTTGAATCCTTATCAAATGATCTTGAAGAATAATTACTTATCACAGACATTTGATCAGAGTCTCGTATTGTTTTAAAGTCTTCCCCTATTGAATATGTTTATATTGTAAACATAATCTAATGAAAACTATTAGCTTATTTTGTACCGTATGTAATATAAGATTCAGAGTGTGAGTGAGATAGTGCAAGTTTTGTTATTGTAAATTTTGTTACGTACAACTTTTTGGGCAACTAAAGGAAATTCACACAAAACCCAAGCAAAATACCAAACAGTGTGCAATCTTTACTACTTAATTTTTCGGATCATGTATTTTTTGGGCATTATTTATTGCATATATCATAATATGCTTCTTCTTTGCTGATCTGATGAAATTTTTTTAACTTTACATTGTTTCAATGTTTAATTGTCAAGTAAAGAAGAGGCAGGAAATGAGTCATGTACACAAGTTTATTTCTATCTGTAAAGTCTTCTTTCTCTGTTTTATTATTATTTTTTTAATTATATTTATGGCACTCAAAAACTCTTTATTATACAAATGTGAAATATGAATTTTTATTATTAGTTTTTATTATTAGCGTTTTTGAGGATTTACATTTTTGGAAAGTGAGATAAAAATTTGAAAGTCTCATTTTTGTTAAAGAAAAAAAAGAATTTATTATATTCTTGTTTTTGAATGTCACTCTTGTTGTGTATAGATTGTGTAAATTTACTGTGTATCATTTGTAATCATTGTAATATTACAATTTTTTTTCTTTTATATAAGAATGAATAATTATTCAAATGTTAATAATGTATAGTTTATTATATTTTATTAGTTTAAGATTAAATAGCCCAAATTAACCCCCATCCATATTGAATAGATTGTTTATACATAAGTAAATAAATATATATTATATTATTGATATGTAATTGCGACTCGTTCCTAGTGGCGACTTCAAGATTCATTACTTATTTTGTAGAATAATTGCTCAGGATTGTTTAACGTTTATAATATATTACAATCATAATATTAAATTTGTATTATAATTTATAACACGTTTGAAATAAAATTCAGTAACCTTTTACGTTTGAGAATTGCTTACTATACATACCTACTTCATTATTTTAAAACTTAATTTTTGTTGGATCAATTAATTTTAAGTAATAAGAAGTCATTTTTATAATTTTGAATTATTATTATTATTATTATTATAGAACAATAATAATTATGATTCATTATGATCAATCAGGCAATTTATATGCAAATAATAATAACTACGTCATCCTCAGCAAACTGCAGGAACAAATAACAAATAAATTTATGGATCGATAATAAGGTCGAAAATAAAAATACCTACACTGAGAGAAGTCCGGGAACTAATACGTCCCGTGCGAGGCTTGAGTGATAATTTTGAATGATCTTATGTGAACTTTCGATCGGGACGTCTCAAGCCCCGATGCGAAACGTGGAACGTCCCGAAGCGGGATTACTTACAACTTTTAGTTTCGGTCACGAGTTGTTCTCTCACATGCGGGAACAATGTTTGACAGACTCGGGGCGTCTGAGCCCTAGATTCGAAACATCTCAAACGCAACAAGAACAGTAGCTTATAGCGACGTCTAGCGGAAACTATTACGCCCTGGACTTCTCTCAGTGTACATATCAAAATATTGAATGCGATGTTCAATAATAATCATTTTTATAATTATATTACATAATATTTTTACTATAATTTACAAATTACCCCAATATATTGACTTTTATTTAAAAGATTTAAATATTATACTTTGAATTAATTATCAAGTATGGATAAATGATTGTCCACCTAGAAAATAAGAAAATAAACTTTAAATTTAGTATTCATATCACGATTTGTTTTGTAAGCAAATAAATAAAATACTTACAACTGAACAGAAATCTTCTATTAAGTAATCTTTCTTATTCATATTTAACAACATGAATCTCAGTTCAGTAAGAAGAACTACTGACTGTTTAGCGTCTGTATTTAACTTTAATTCTTCATTAATTATTGCCCATTGTACATGTCTGAGCCATGTCATGGCAAAATCTTGAAAACTGTAATTTGGCTCTACTAAATTAGAAATATTGTCGATCGCATTTTTGAAAATAACAAATGTTGCAGGACACTGGAGAAATGGACAAACATTTAATTTTTGAGAAATACAATAATAAAGAACCATTGAGAGGCATTCGTAGATTTCGTTCTGGTCTTGAATATCAGTCTGAAAAATTATTATTTAATACTTATTTTCTTCAAGGAATAAAAATATTAATTGCAAGGGTTATTAATAGTTCAATTTACTACAACGCACTAAAAGTCGATTTTAAGAAAAGTTACAACTTTCATAAATTATATACTTAAAAATTAAAAACTAAAATAAAATTTTATTATAATTAAAGAAAAAGATACAGAAAGTCTACTTTTTCATATAAATGCCCATTTTTGTTTAAATTGCTATTTTTTTAGTTTTCGACAGTTTGTTAAAGGTTCGAATTTAAATACTCATATTTGTTCTTATTTTTCTCTTAAAAGGTTTGATTATTTTACAAATGAATTTATGTTCAAGGTTGAAAGAAGCTTTCTGTTTGATATAACAAAATTTAATTAATGTACACTGAGAAAACTGGAGTATTGGACTAAACATTTGGAGGGAGAAATCGTTGATATTTGAGAGTTAGCTATTGGATAACAATCTAAATGTTCAAATACACCATTGACAGATATTCGTGCCATTTCTCTTGGAGGTAAAATGAGTTTATAACAGAAATTTACCATCTTGAGAAATCCCTTCCTTATCCGTCGCGAAATGAATAAATATGGCAAACTAACCCCTAAATTAAATAAATAAAATGTCAGAAAAACAATTTCGCGCGCATCAGATCGTACACATTTTCTGCGCAACTTTTAAGAGACGCATGCATATCCCCTAATCGCCAAGTAGTCGAATGATCAAATAGTCGAATGCCAAGTAATCGAATGGACAAAACGTCGAATGCTAAAAACATCGAATCCTCATTTAATCGAATGCTAAAAACATCGAATTATCAATTTGTCGAATGTTAAAAACGTCGAATGTTCAAAACGTCGAATGCTAAAAACGTCGAATGTTCAAAACGTCGAATGCTCAAAACGTCGAATAGTAAAACTATCGAATAGTCCATTCGTCGAATTATCAAGTAGTAGAATGGTAAAGTTGTCGAATGTTCAAAACGTCAAATCGTCATCTGTTCGAATTTCCAAGTAGTAGAATAGTAAAGTAGTCGAATGGACAAAAAGTCGAAACGCCATCTGTTCGAATTATCAAGTTACTACTTGATGGTAAAGTTGTCGAATGTTTAAAACATCGAATCGTCATTTAGTCGAATGCTAAAAACATCGAATCGTCAATTCTTCGAATGCTAAAAACATCGAATTGTTAATTAATCGAATGCTAAAAACATCGAATTGTTAATTCATCGAATGCTAAAAACATCGAATTGTTAATTCATTGAATTTTCCATTCGTCGAATGTTCAAAACGTCGAATGATCAAAACGTCGAATGCTAAAAACATCGAATTCTCAAATCGTCGAATGCTCAGAACATAGAATAGTCAGTTCGTCGAATGCTCAAATAGTCGAAACGCCATCTGTTCGAAATGTCAAGTCGTAGAATGGTAAAGTAGTCGAATGTTCAAAACGTCGAATGCTCAGAACATCGAACTGTCAATTCGTCGAAAGATAAAAACGTCGAATGCTAAAAACATCGAATCGTCAAAAGTTCGATGTTTTTAGCGTTCGACGTTTTTATCATTCGAGGTTTTGAGCATTCGACGAATTGACAGTTCGATGTTCTGAGCATTCGACGTTTTGAACATTCGACTACTTTACCATTCTACTACTTGGCAATTCGAACAGATGGCGTTTCGACTATTTGAGCATTCGACGCACTGACTATTCTATGTTCTGAGCATTTGACGATTTGAGAGAGAATTCGATGTTTTTAGCATTCGATTAAATGAAGATTCGATGTTTTTAGCATTCGACTAAATGACGATTCGATGTTTTGAACATTCGACAACTTTACCATTCTACTACTTGATAATTCGAACAGATGGCGTTTCGACTTTTTGTCCATTCGACTACTTTACCATTCTACTACTTGGCAATTCGAACAGATGACGATTCGACGTTTTGAACATTCGACAACTTTACCATTCTACTACTTGATAATTCGAACAGATGGCGTTTCGACTATTTGAGCATTCGACGAATGGACTCTATTCGATGGTTTTACCATTCGACTAAATGACGATTCGACGTTTTGAACATTCGACGTTTTTAGCATTTGACGTTTTGAACATTCGACAAATTGAGAATTCGATGTTTTCAGCATTCGATTAAATGAGGATTCGATGTTTTTAGCAATGTTTTGTCCATTCGATGTTTTTAGCATTCGACGTTTTTATCATTCGACGTTTTGAACATTCGACGTATTGACAATTCGATGATTTAAGCATTCGATTAATTAACAATTCGATGTTTTTAGCATTCGAAGAATTGACGATTCGATGTTTTTAACATTCGACGAATTGATAATTCGACGTTTTGAACATTCGACGTATTGACAATTCGATGTTTTTAGCATTCGACTAAATGCCGATTCGATGTTTTTAGCATTCGACGTTTTGTCCATTCGATTACTTGGCATTCGACTATTTGATCGTTCGACGACTTGGCGATTAGGGGATATGCATGCGTCTCACTTTTAACCCTCAGATATAATTGGAGAGAATATACAAGTAGATTTTCATTACCAATTCAAAAATTATTTTAGAAGGACTATTTAACTCTCTTCATAAGCAAAGGAAACATACACTTTTTGAACCTCCGAATTTGACACTCCAGTTTTCTCAGTGTACTAAAAATATGAACACAAATTATTATTCACTAAAAAAATTAAGCTCTAAAATGTTTAAACTCAAAATGTTTTATAAGTACGTCATTATAAAAAGGACCATTATTAACCATAAAATATGTTGACTCCCTAAAAAAAAATTTTTTTTAAGTAAAACATATTTGCCCATATAAAACCTCAATTAGTACACGGAGAGACCGACATTACTAATTTTTGTATAAAATCACACTAGAATTTACTATTTTCACATTGCAACCACCGGAAATAAGGGGACTTTTTGTATTTTTTACTATTGCTTCCTCATAAAGGAAGCTTTGCATTAGCAAAATTTTGGATTGGCATTTTTTGACATATTTATAAATTTTTTTTTATTATGCCTAATACTTTAGTACTTTATATATGCACAGGAACTCCCCGTATAAATGTTCTTAATAAATAAAAAAAAATTTCGACGTATTTTGACCTCCGAAGTCCAAAAAACGGATTTTAAAAATTTGTCCCGATGTGTGTGTGTGTACTAACATTACATTTGCCTCATTATCTCAGAACGAGAAAGAGCTAAAGGCCTCAATTTTTTTTAAATTGTAGGTCTTCCCGGGGGACATAAGATGAGAGTATTTTCAGCCCGATTCATGAAGTTTAACTATTTTTTTTTTGCATTTTTCATTTTGTAAAAAAACGTTTTTTGGACATAACTTAAAAAAATGTTGGAACACTTATAAATCTTTTTCTTTAGTTTTGTAGAGTTTTTTCAGACGCATCTTTTGAGCCCTAATTGAACATTTTTGGTCCATATTAACCGGAGATATTAAACTTTTAAAAATCAAAAATTTTGGAAAATAAGACATTTTTAAAAATTTTGTTAAAAAATGTAGAAGTTTAGTTTTGTTTTGTATTCAGTTTTGTAGAGTTTTTTCGGACGCATCTTTTGAGTCCCAATTGAACATTTTTCGTCCATATTAACCGGAGATATTAAACTTTTAAAAATCTAAAATTTTGAAAAATAAGACTTATAAAATTTTTTTAAAATTATGTAAAAGTAACTTCAAAAAATTATTACCAACTTGAAGAGCATTAAAAAACGCTTCGATTGACCTATTTTTGAACCTGATTCGGGCAGAAATTATAAAATTATTGGTATTTGAAAAATCAAAAATTGTGGAAAATATCATTTTTTCAACATTCTTGTTTATTAACTTATGTGTAATTATTAAACTATTATTACCATCTTATAGAATATATAAAAACACATTTTTTAGACCAAGATTTAAAGATTTTTAACCCTTTAATAAAAAGTAATTCTTATATTTCAATTATTATTATTTCTATGAGGAAGCAAAAGTGTTCATGAAATGAACACCAAAATTATAAAAATGTACAACTTGGCAGCGGTTTTTTCTACACCAAGTCACTAATCCGACAAATGTTCACCAAATTAGCAAAGTTTCTTACTATTTCGTCCAATAGTTCCAAACAACTGTAGTATACTCAGAAGTATTGTGTACATAAAATTACTATAGTGGTTTGTAAATGCAGAAAGAAAGAGTGAAAGAAAAAATACGGATTTTTATCGCCGGTTTCCCGTCAATTCTTGACTAATGGAGATAAACTGGAAGGATTTTTACATACACAGACACACACACTCACACACTTATGTATTTGTTGGATAAATATTTGAAGACACACACATGTTTATTTCACTGATATGTATAGACGCGGTTAATTAATACACTAATACACAACTGCACGCACGACAACAAATTTCACTGAAAGTATACATCTTTGTTTCCTTATATATTGAATGATGAAAATTTACAGCACTTACGAGAAAGCAGTTTACTTTTAACAACTTATTATAAGACATAGTTCTTGGGACAGGAATAAATGCAAAATTTATTAATTTATAATGGTCAATTTCTGAGATAACGAACGACCTACAGATAATATCCAAATTTATTTTACATACGCGAAACATAGTCACTGTCAATGATCGGATGGCATCGGCTCATTTACGGAGATTGACGAAGTTAGCAACCAATAGAAATGCAGGCGCCATATGACTGCACTCGCTAGCCACACTTGCTCACCAAAAATTACCCTACTAAAAATAAAATCAGGAATGATCAGACAAATGGTCAGGCCGCCTGACCACTTTAATCCAGTTTTCTTACGATTCTGGATGGATCTCGTCAGAAATCTATCACAACTGATCAGGAGGAGGAAGTTTAAAGTGGTCACAAGTTTGCTACTATCCCCTCCTCTTTGTTGACCCCGCCCATAATTGGTGACTATTTGAGACCATTTGTATCTCATTTTTGACCATATT